ATGAGCTGCTGCAGCTTGGACCCTTCAATCCCTCGGATAGACACCATCGGGGTTGGAGATCCCTCGTGCTTCTCGGCATCACACAAGAGCTCGTGATCAATATGCGATAATGGTCGCTCGATCTCTGCCATGGCACCTACCAGCAGCAGAATCCCCAGCATCTTCTCTGACAAGGAATAGAATGAGGCTTCGTCTGTTACAGCAGCAAGAAGTGTCGCGGTGGCTGTTCCTTGGCTGTGACCAACAGCGGCTACAATCAGTGTTTGAAAAAGAATGGTTAGATTTTGAGCATAATGCACGCTGCTGGATTTAGCCATATGAGCGCAATTTCCTTCTGCCATTTCCGGAAAGCCGAATAATATTTACCTGTAAAGCAGTCTGTCAGCTCGCCTGGCGATAGACCAAGGGTCTTGTACAAGACCATCACATGCATGAGCTGGATTAGCCCGGTGATCGGTATGGCAACCGACACGTGTGTGAAATACGCGTGTGGTGGCTGAGTACTGGATGGGGCGCACCATTGCATAGGGTCAAGCCCAAAGTCATAGAGATGCGACAGCCGTGGGTCCTGGCACTCTCGGTTGAGAAAAGCAGACATTCTGGCGACAAAGTCAGCAACCAGCGGTGCGTACACGTCGAGCAACCAGCATGCCTCATCCATGTAGTTGTCCATGCCACCTTGGCCACCAAACACAGCCATCAGACTGACATCTGGGTCGGTGAACAACGCCGGTATGCACTGGGGTATGCAGCGGCTGCCATGGGGCTCGGTCAGATTCCACACAGAGTAATATCCCTTGAGCACCCGGCGTGCCTGCTCCTCATCGAGCTCATGCTGCAAGATGACAAGATTGATATGTGCATCATGGCAGAACGTGTCGTGAAAGTGATCAAAAATGGCCAGCGTCACTGCAGCATTGCGAGAGCTGCAATAGCTAATAAATGACGCGAGCAACTCGATATTGCAGGTGTACCCTATCGAGTTCTGGGTAAATTCCGCGGCTAAACGTCGAGCATCGTGCACAATTGACCGTGCAACAGGAATCTCGATGGATATGCCATTAGTAGAAAGCGAAAAATACGCGTGGGTCTCGGGTTGGACGTCCATAGTTGGCAAAGTTTAGTATCGCAAAAAGTTGAGGACAAGAGCTAAAGACATACAAAGAGCAAGAACTGAGATGCAAAGTACGACAAGGGACGCTGGGAGGGAAGAAACCAAAAAAATGTGAAATAGATTTTAGGAAGAGAAGCCCCTCATGTTTATATCTGAGTAGCAATGTCCATGGATCCCTGAGGGCGCCTGTGTCTTCTTGCGGCCCCCAAACGGATAAGCAGCATTACAAAGCACTATATTTCAGCAATGCATGATTGTACACCGAAACATATTTGATAACCCTTCTTCTCCCTTCCTGCAACTACACCGGCGTGCCAGTTCCTATGCCACACCGCAGACCGCCCCCAGGTGAGTACACCTGCCAGTAGGTCAAGAATTGGCACAAGACACAATGCTAGCGCTCCGCTTCCTCCTCTTCCTCCTTACGCTCTACCATGCGCTTGAGAAAGAGTCTTTGTCCAGCTGGAAAAGGTTGTTGGTGTATTTTTTCTCTTCCGCTTCTGCGCCATCAAAACATCCAGGAAAATGTCTTGCGAGAGTGTTTTGAGGGACGCATCCCTCACTCACTCTCTTAACACAGCACACCATACACAATGGCCTAATAAGTCGCTACAATGAGTATAGTGGCTGCAGAAATTGGCCCCAGGAAAGCAGCGGTATTCGCCAGAGCGCATTGGTATTTTCAGGTGAACATTTTGAACATGGGCGGTGTAGATGCTAGAATTGCGTGGAGTTAATAGACCGTAAGGTACACGCGTGTGTTATCAAATGCAGCCATTTGCCAACCAGTTGCACGTGGAGCGCGAGCTGGCATGAGCAAGATACACATATGCAGCAATCAATACGAACTGCAAAGCAAGTCCGTTGTAGTCGTATATTGCAATCCCGTATTTTATTTTCCACTTTTGGCAAGGCAAAGCGCCAGCGCAAAAAAGACTATGAGGTTACCATAGACAATAAGAGAGGGTGAGGAGGAGTGGCTGGATCACCTGTAGAGGAAGATGAACAGACAGCGGATGCGCCATTTTCTGCTCTCCCCCCTACAACACAACATTCAGCTGCAGAAAGCCAAACATTGGAGGCGTGTGAAATGGCATTTTTCTTGACGACAGCGATATGCCACTCTGAACTCTAACTCAAACCGTGCGCTCGAGGCGAATACCTGCACCGTGACATCCACCGCAGTATCTTATTTTTGTGTAGATTTTATCTGGGTTCCCAGAAAAAAACACACACACCCTCTCTTTCCGTTTTCCAAAATATCAACAAGCTAGCGCTAGGAGCAGAGCTGGCTCAGGACAACAAGCAATTCCAAAAGGATTGCATTGTTATTTCTCCCGTGTTCGCATTGAGTATTGGCATCTGCAGGACGCTCTGTCCCTACTTGGTTTCCTGGCCCGGCTGGCTTGATCGAACGCCTAACCGTCAACAAGGACACACAATGAGGATGCAATATCGGATTCGATGTTTGTTTTGCTCTGACATTCGTATTGTGAAACTACCAGGTATAGTATATGCCCGTTGGCAAGCTCAGCCTAGTAAGTGCTGTGTTTCCGTGACCAAACTATGTAAGCAACGGCCAATATTGACGGGAGGCGGTGGTCATGCCAAAAGGACATGTTTTTTTTGTTGCTGCTAGGTTTGTACGTAAGAATCTTGAAGCTGGCGCCAAGATCTGCCACTGCAGATTTTCTGGAGCAAGAAAAGCGAGGGTGCGCAAGGCTTTGGTAGAGTAGGAATTCAGGGGGTTCAAAGGGATGATGTAATTTGGCAATTCCGCCATGGAAACTGAGTCTTCATGATGCTCGGCGTAAGCCACGGGCAGTATACCAGCGAATAAGAATAAAGTGGGTAGAAAGAACGTCTGAACATATTGATTTACCAAAGGGACGTGCAAGAACTGCATTTGGAAATGGAGGGAGCTGATAAACCGCTATGCAGAATGCAGCACATGCATGTACTATACCAACCCAAGGAACAACAGTGCTCAAAATTCCTGATGGTCTGAGAAGTTCGCGAGCTTGTCGGATCGGCCTCGCTAGCTCAATGGTAGAGCATCAGGCTTTTAACCTGAGGGTTGTGGGTTCGAGCCCCACGCGAGGCGATTTAGTCTTTTGCTTCATTTTTGAATGAGGATGGATGCTGGCTCTTGCATCATATTTTTGTGCCCAGTGTCTTTCAGATATTTCTTTTGTGTATTTACCGGTGAAGCGCGAGGAACAAAATACTTTTATGGCTCAAGGGCGCAGCTCGGCCCACATGTTGGGGACCAGCACACAGGCAGCGACCCACAGGGT